CCTATTTTTATGTAAAGAATCCACAATTCAGTATACCTTCATTTGGCACAGAAAGGGAGAAAACGCTCTTCTAAAAATGGAAGACAGGACAGACACAGAACAGCTTGTCCCTTTCCATCCAATTAAAAACCTCGTGAGACTGAACTAGATTAAAAACAAAACTCTCCAGCGAAGCGGCAGGCCCTCCAAGCGAAGCAGTCCCCTACCAACAGAGCGCGGCGGAGGGCAGCAGCCTTGGCCCTAAACGGCCGGTCCATCCCCCGGTGGATGGCCGTCCCCGGAGGACGGGGGTGGGGGGTGGGGTGCGCGGGGACCGGGGGCAGGGGCGCGGACACACGGAAGCGTTTCAGGCTGCCCAGGTTGACTGGCAGGGAGTGCGGGGCAGGCAGGGTCCCCGGCGACGGGGGAGGCAGAGGGCACCTCCCAGGCGCCGAGGAGGCGAGTCATGAGGCTGGCGGCCTGGCAGCCAGGCTGGGCCCAGGCAGGAGGTGGCACTGGAGGGCAGTGCCCCAGTGCGACAGGCATGGGCCATGAGCTGCCTCCTGACCTCCCCGCCACAGGGACTGGCCCAGAGACCCAGGCTGGGCCTGGCCAGGCAGAGTAAGCCCCTCGGCCGGGCGCCGCCTCACTGGGGTCAGGCCGGGCAGGCGCCTCCTCCTCCGCCAGGGGAGCCTCAGGCAGGGCCCAGGGCTGCCGCGGCGCATCCGGCCGCACCAGCCGGCCGGCGTCAACAAGGGCGGCGGGGGCGCGAGGCCGGGGCAGGGGCGCGGGCGGCAGCCAAGATTAAGCACGCGCGGCATTTCGGCCGCCGCGGAGACAATGCGGCGCGTCCCAGCAGGGCCTCCGCGACCGCCTCCGCCGAGACATTTTAACGCGCGGAGGCGGGCCTGGTCTCATGCAGGGGCGGTGCTCAGGCGGGGCGCCGGCGCGGAAGCCGGGCCGCGCGTTTCCTTTGTGCAGCCGCGCCGGCCCCGCCCCGCGCCCTCCGGAAGGCGCCTCGAGCCCGGCGGCGGGTTAGGGACTTCGGCTTTCGATTTAGGGAGGCGAGCGCCGCGCGGCCCGTCGGAAGTCCCCAGTGCGGTGGTGGACTGTGGAGTCCCGCCCCGCCAATTCGGAGCAATAATAATAAGGACTAGCAGTAGTGTGTCAAGCCCTACGCGCACGCATTCCCACTTAGGGTTCACAATAACCCTACAAGTAGTCATTATTCTCCCCACTGGGAACTGAGGATCACAGATGTTAAGTAATGACCAAAGTGACCCAGTTACACCTCCATAAACGGGGATAATGCTTACTCTTTAGGCTTACTGTGAAGGTTAAGTGAGGACATTTACTCAAATTGCCTGCAGTGCTTGGCACACAGTTGGAGCCCAATAAATGTTACTTCTCTTCCTAAACCATACTGAGTTAAACTGAATTGTCGTGGCAAGCACATTCCTAGTCAGTAGATAACGCTAGGAGCTGCAGGGGATACCAAAGATGTACAAGGGTGACTCAACACTTCTCACCACCCCGCCCCCCAGCTTTATCAGGAATAGATGACACGAACTTCTTTCTCCATGCTTGACTTCTTTCTATTCCCAACATTTTCCCATTTTCTTGCCTTTCTTGGCATTCGTATTCTCCCCTCCCACTGCCTTTTTCCTTCAGGCCTCATCCCTCTTTCTTTGTTCCTGCGTCTTACATTTATTTTATATGCTCTGTTTACTTCACTCCCTCTTTTCCTTATTCCTTTTTTTCTTCGAATTTTCAAACCTCCTTTCTTACACTTATAAACAAAGGTAACATAGGATAGAATACTCGACTTCTACTCTCCTGCCTCCCTGACTTTACTTGCTCTAGTCCCTCCTAGATTGCCCTTTCCCCAACTCTGCATGTCTAGGTCTCACTTATCCTTCAAACTCTGGATTCAAGAACAAATGGTCAGCAAACTTTTTCCGTAAGGAACCAGATGGCAAATATTTTAGATTTTGCAGGATATACTTTTTCTGTTGCAACTCTTCAGCTCTGCTGTTGTAGCAGGACATAGCCATAGACACATGACCACATGAATAAGTGTGGCTGTGTTCCAATAAAACTTTATGGACACTGAAATTTAGATTTCATATAATTTTCACATATCATGAAGTATTCTTTTGATTCTTAAAAAAAACTTTTTAAATGTAAAAACCATTGTTCAATGGTTTACAAAAACTTGTGTTGTGATGGATTTGGCCCTTGGGATGTAGTTTGCCAACCCTTGCTCTAGAACAACGCCACTTCCTCCCAGTGATCTACCCTGATAATCTCTACGTGGTAGTAACTTTTCCCTCTTAACTTTTAAAGCACTTACATATAATCCTTCTATGGCATTTATCACATTTTGGTTTTTATTGTATGTTTCCTTCCTGTGCATTTCTCATCTTTCCCAGCAGAACTTAAGCTCTTTGAACATAGGTTACAGACCTTATTTCTCTATGTATTACTTCCCATCCCACAGTGCTTTGCATGGAGCAGGCATGCAAACATATACAGAATTGATAAATATTTAAGACTTGGGTGGTTGACAATAGTTTCCACTGTGCAAAGCTTACTTCTCTCAAGAGACAGTCCCTCAGGAACAGGATGCTTGTTATATGTATAGATTTCAGAAAGAGATTTTTGAGAGCTTTATAGAGAAGATAGAGAAAGCTAGGCAAATGTCAGTTCATTTAGGAGTTGTGGGATAAGATGTACTTGAACAAAGAATGTATGTTATCACCAACCTGCAGACAGAGCATGCGTCCTCAGTCGGGTCTTAGTCAATATTTCTATCAGCAAATTGGTTAAAGACAAAGAGAACATGCTATATAATTTACAGGTGGCAAAGTTAAGCAGAGGAGTTAATATAATGAATAACAAAATTCAGATATAAAACATTCCTGCCCCTTCCCTTATCCTCTCTGTGCCTCTGTTTTCTTATCTTTAAAATGGAGATGATAAAAGTTCCTGTCTCAGAGGGTTACTGTCAGGATTAAATGAGGAAATACACAAAAAGGCCGGCAGAGAGGGCTCAGTAAATATTAGCTGTTAACTATTACTATTTTCTGGCTAGGCAGGAACTATGGGCTGATTTCACAAAATAACATTTAACAGATATAATTAACTACATTTTGGCTCAAAATATAAATTGTACAAGTTTGAGAGTGAGGAGTCCTGGAATGATAGCAGCCCATGTAAAAAGAAACCTCAAAAACAAACTAAAAAATAAACCCCAAACCCAACCCTCTGGAATTCAGGTGATTCAGTGCTCGGTGAACCAAGGGTGTCATTCCCCTGCATCCGAGGAGCTAATGTGGGGCTCTGGGTGTATCATGCTAATGAAGGAAGGTGAGGGAGTTATACTTGGAGCCAGAGTCAGGGCACTGCACTTTAACAGCAGTGGGACCTTGACCCTCTGCAGGCTTTTACTCCCTCCTCTGAATTATGGGAACAATAATATTGACCTCCCAGGGGTATCATGAGTTGAGTTCAGGAAAATCTTGGAACAGTCCTTGGCACACAATAGGTGTTCAAACAAATGTCAGTTCCCCCCTACCATACCATGCAGATACAGGAAACAGTCCTGCCCCTTGAAAGGCTTATAAAGCTAGGTCCAGGTGCCAACTTATGGTGGCTGGTGGCTTTTTATGTTTGGAATTACTGTGCTTAATTTTGGGGCTCACACTTTGGGAGAATTAATGAAAAGGTAGAATGTGGCTAAACAAGAATGACCAGATGGTGGGAATGGGAGGTCTTGACACCGGATGGGTAACAAAAAAAAAAAAAAAAAAAAAAAAAAGGCAAAAGATCTCAGCTATGCAAGCCTGGAGATTTTCCTTTTTTCAATGGGAGGGAGGGGAAAGAGACATGGTAACTGTCTCCAGACACTGCCAGAGAGGGACTCTGTTACAATTCACGAGACAGTCACAGCCAGTAGTAGAAGTTCCAGGAGAACTGGTTCGGGCTCAATTTGAAGAGCAACTTTTTGATCATTAGAGCGATTCCACAGTGAAATGGGCTGCTTTTCAAATTGGTGAACCCCTTACTCTTGCAAGTGTGCCAAGAGAACGGATAACCTCCTTCCTGTCTTTTAATTTTCCTGATGTTCTTTCTCCACATTCTTTTCGCTTTTCCTTTCCTTGATCCCATCCTCTATTCCTTCTAGGACATTCATAGCCCTTTCCCCTACTCTGTCCCCAAGTGCTTTTCTTCTCATTTCTCCCTCCTGACTTCCCATGCTCTTTGTCTCTTGGCTCTCCCCACCCCGGCTCCCAGCGCACACCTAGTCTGATGACTGGAACTGCCTCCTTGACTTGCTCAGAATGTCACAGATCCGGGCCAAGACTGCTGTGCACACCAGCAGGGAGGGGAAGGAAGGCAAAGGGACCACTGTGAAGGCTGAGATCATGCTGTGACTTTCTCATCAGGGTAGAGGGATCCTCCGACTGAAACCCAGTCGTGGAGAAGGGCCACTTGTCACTGGGCACTCACAGACTCTTGGGGATCCCAGAGCTGGGCAGTTCTTTCAAAGATGCTTTCCACGAGCTGAACTCATTCTGAATCCCCTTCTAGCTCCCCCTAGGCATTTGTCGTATCTTTGATCTATGGCAGCCATTTGTCATATTTCCAATTTCAAGAACTCCCTCTCCTACCAAATGAAGCAGAGAACTGAGACAACTGGAGACCTGCCTGAACCCTCAGCTTGGCATATGGATATGCGAAACATATCTGTCAGCAGTGACATGTAGGTCTCAGAGTCTGGGTCTAGAACTTTCAACTTTCCTTTCTCTATCCTTTTATATCTTCTGTGTCCCCTTTCTTTAGCTTTGGTTCATCTTCCCATTTCCCCCTCTCTGTTTTCACCTACCCAGCTCCCTTGTTGCCTCGTGGGCTTGCAATGGCTTACCCGCCCATGCCAGACGCCCAACTGAAATATGCCAGGGAGTGGCAAGGAAAGCCAACTCTCTCCCCTCCCTCGAGGGCCCCACCCCACTTCATACCGTGAGCTGGGGACTGCTGGACACTAGGGCTCTTGGGGGCAGGCAGGCCTGCAGGCATGGCCGTGATGATCGCCTGGGGATGTGGTGATGGGCCAGCGCGAGTCTCAGGCACACTCTTCTCCCCAGGTACCGCCTCCTTCCAGTCATCCATGGTGCACTGCTGGGGCTGTTAAGGGACAAGACAGAGATCATCCCATAAATTGCTTCTACATCGTTGGATACGCCCCGTCTTCTGAGGATTTGGGGTAGCAGGTGAGGACTTTAAGATTCAGCCAGCCCCAAATTAGGGAGGGGCCCCTTTACTTTCTTGGAACACCCAGAGAGGACTTTGACGAAAACACATCCGAAAGGGGGCTGTGGGATTGCCCGAGCTGTCCTCCCCGTTTGCTCCTCGGACCCTGGTGTTGGCTTACTCACCACTGGTGAAGCGGGCTGCAGTTGTAAGATGACAGCTGAAGCATGCTGGAGCCTGCGAGGGGTGTGGGCCAGGCCTTCAGGGTATCCATTGTGAGGCCCAGCTTCTGGCGTGGGAGGGTGACACTGCTGAGCGCTGCCAGGCTTGTGCAGATTGGCCGTGGGGCACTGCAGCGGCAGGGCGGGTGTGACTGGGCCTAGTGGCATGGCATGGGCTTCGGGGCTGGACTGCGGGGCCAGGCTGGGGGGGACCGAGGCGAGCTGGGGCTGGGGCTGGGCTTGGAGCCGTGACTGCTGCTGCTGTGGCGCTGGTTGCTGTGGCTGCTGCTGGAGCACAAACTGGGGCTGCAGGTGCTTGGAGGACGGCTGCGAGAGAAGCTGGTGGGGCTGCAGCTGAGCGTAGGCTGAAGGGGGGAAAGAGCAGGTCAGGGGGCACGGCTTGACCTCATCTTCTGCTGTGTCCCCAACTGTGCCCCTCCCACCTCCATATCACAATGGCTTCCCAAACTCAAGGTCTCCTGCTTTGAGCTCTTTCAGCTTTCACCTAGAGCCTTGCCTGGCCACTGGCACGGCGCAGCTGTCTCTGTTTCCTCGCCTTCTTCCTGTGCTTCAACACTGTTCCCTCTGGCTGCCCCTCAAAGCCCAAAGCAAAGCTCACCTCATCTGTGAAGCCTTCTTGGACCATGCCTGCTGGTCAGAGGAACACTGGATTCTACAGGGTGCCGTGTGCTCTCTCTCCTCTGTGCCCTTGGCTCACTTTCCTCCCAGCCTATGGTCTGTGTGGCCCCCCCATCGCCCAGCCCAGCTCTGTCTGTTCATTCACACCCTCTGGCTCTGCTCAGGCTGGGCCTCCTCCAGGAAGAGCCAATTCACATAGATGGGGGCTGGACTTCTGGTTCCTTCTGTTATATACAGAGGGACCTCGGGCTAGCTGCTTAACCTCTCTAGGCCTCGGCTTCCTTCTCTATAAGTCAGAAATAAAAATAGTTCCTGCCCAGAAAGTTGTTGTAAGGATGAAATGAGAAAAAAACTGTGTGAATATAATGAGAAAAACAAGTGACATACTGTTCATAGCACAGTGCCTGGCATACGGTCGTGCTCAATCATTTCTAGCTATAATTAAAATGATGATTTCAATCTTGGTCTCGGTTCTCAAAGCATCCTGGACTTATACATCTACCATAAGAACGTGTATCACAGCGCATTGTAAGTTCTTCTTAGCTCCCTTCCCTTCAAGATCATGAACTCCTTGTGGTCAGAAACTATTCTGTATCTCTTTAGCCAGAGCCTGGAATAATGCCTGACATCAGATGGGTGCTAAGGAAATAAACTTCTTGTCCTGAACTGGAATTCATGTGTTGTCATGTGCTACTAGCCTTTTCTTCTCCCATTTTAACCAGGCCCTCTCTTGGAGGTGAGGATTCTTATACTTTTTTAGTAATCTGTTCAGCGTCTAGCTCATGCCTTGTATACACTAGGGATTCAGAAATTCAGCTCAGAGATTGATTGTCCTTCCTTCTCACTCTGTCTAGCAGCATCCAGGCGAGCCTAGCATGAGGGCGGCTAGCTCAGCTGAATGTGTCTTGCCTCACGGTGGCCCTCCACAAAGGCTCTGCAGCTGGAGGGGAGCCACCAGAGAGGGGCTGTGTCTTACAAATACACAGGGTCACAGCTGGAAGCTCACAAATGCATTTTTACAACCAAAGGTTCCCATCGAACAAGGATAAAGGCAAATTTAGGATCCTAAGCTAACATTTTAAAAGAATCCTATGATCCTTACAGGTGCAAAGCAAACAGATTTCAGAGCATGTGTGTGTGTGTGTGTGGGGGGGGGGTGCTTCTTTCTTAAAGTTTGTCGATTTACACACACTGTCTCATCACAGCCCAACACAGAGTTCCAAGGAGAATGCCATTCAGAATGGAAGGAAATGGAACAGAACGGAAGGGGAGGGAAGGGAAGGGAGAGAAAGGAAAGGGAAGGGAAGGGAGGGAAACAAGAGGTGTTAAAGGAAAACAAGGCGGCCCATGGTGGCTGACTGCTGTAGGCCGAGAGAGGGAAAAAAGGGACAGCCCACAGGCTATGGTCTGGATGACAGTGAATACAGAAGAGGGAAACTCTGGAAGGCAATGTGGCTTTTAGAGAAACTTCCTGGGTTTGGGTGGTGGTGGAACATCCAGATGGAGATTGCCAGTAGGCATTTATTTGGTGATTATAAATTGCCCCTGCCTCCAACTTTAGCCTTGTCTCCCAATTCCACATTGAATGGCACAAAACTTAACAATCAGAATTGTTAATCAGGCAAACTAAACAATCAGGACTTTTTAAGATGACTGTCAACAAGTCACTGGAGAGGTACCAAAGAGGCCACGTGGTGCCCTGTTAGGCTCGAGGGGCCAAAAAGACCTGTAGAAGGATGGGCATTATCACTGAAAAAGCAAGCAAACCTCTCTGTCTCTCAGTACAAAGCCACAAATTCCTGCCCTGGGAACAGCCGCTCCACGGGTTGCCCCTGTGAGGTGAGAGCTGGCGCAGGTGCAGGGCAGGGAGCCGAGCATCAGTAGCGTGTCCCGTTACTCCCTGGCTGTGTGGCCCACGGCGGGTCCTGCTCCTTCTCAGGGACTCAGAGTTTTATCTGAAACAGGAGGTGTGGGCAAGGTGAGCGCATGAGTCTCTCCCAGCTCTAATCTGATGAGGGTGGCTCTTGTAGGAAAGTGGTTGAAAATTCGGGATTTATAAGGTGGCGAGAAGATTCGAGAGGAAAAGGGTTCTAGATCTCTAGCGCACAGAGTACAGTTAGGGAAAATACGCGTTTGCTTGACAAGACTGGAAAAGAGACTGCCGGCCTGCGGCCCTCTATCCCAGGGCCTCCCCGTCCGGCCCACTCTCTCCCCTCTACGCTGCTCCTGGAAAACTGGATGCATTGTTTTAGAACAGATGATGCTAGCATATGCTAGGGATGGAAACAAGGCTCATGAAGGCATAGATGAGTTCACAGATCAAAGACCGAAGGTATTTTGGGGGGAGTGTACACCCGTAACCTTTTGAGGTTAATAAAAAGCAAAGACCATGATTTAGCTCTGGCATTATCCTGGCTCAAAAGTCCTTTTATGTAAAGTATTGCAATGACTTCCTAATTGGTCTTTCTGATTCCTGTTTCTTCTCTCTATAATCCATCTTATGGATTGCCAAGTAATCTTTCTTTTGCAAGTTAATCTTCCTAGTGCACAGATCTGACCCCCGATTAAAAGCCATCGGGGATCCTCCTTTGTCTGTTGTCTAAAGCCCTTGGCATTCAAGATCTCATTACAACCTTTGAATTTTTATTATTTCTTTGATCAGAGCAATCTACTGCTCACTGTCCCCTGTACGGAACTTGTGCTTTGTCTCATCCCGCTTAGAGTGTCACACAAATCAAACCCTCGTCATCCTTTCCCTGCCGTTACAGCCAAGGGACTCTTCCCTTTCTCTGAGCTACACCAAGATCTCTCTGCTTTGCACGGCCCTCAGAGATGCAGCGTGTCCAGCGGTCAAGGATAAGCTCTAGAGTCAAAGTGCTCGGATTTGAATCTTAGCTCTGCCACTTACCAGCAGTACACTGCTGGGCAAGTTACTTGACCTCTCTGAACCTCTGTGTCACCATCTTTAAAAGGGGTAATGATGATACCTATTTCATAGTTATTTCAGTAAATGACTTATCTCCTTTCAGAGGCAGAATTTATGGGATTCATTTGTTTCATCCAAAGAACCTTGGATTTAGTGGATGCTCAATCAGTATTGGGGAATGAATGAATGAATGAATGAATGAATGACACCATGGTGGGACTCTGTTTGTTCCACAGAACTTTTCCTCTTCAGAACCAGAGCATGGATGAGAGGGATACAAACCCACAGATCATTTTAGTTTAAGCAGCACCCTGGTTTATTGAAGACCCTCTTCCTGTCCAACCCCCGCTCACTACCTTCCTGCACTGACTCACAACCCACCCCAACTGCTCTACTTGCTGTCCATAAAACGTCATATCCTAGCGTGCCTGCTTGGCTTTGATTTCAGTGCTTCCATTTTCTGGAATGCCCTCCTTCTGCTTCAGTGATCCAAGGCTTAAGCTTCTTTGGCTCAGGCTCAGCTCCTGTTGTCTCCCTCTTTGCCTTAACCCTCAATTATGGGTTTTCCCTCAGAATTCCTGAAAGTTTTTATTGTTTGTTTGGATTCGTTTGTGATTTAACATGTACTATCTTGTATACATATTTCCTTGGTTCTTAAAAATTGATTCTTATTCCCCTTCTCATTTTAACATAACATCCCTTAAATTGGCATGCGTATCGTGGTTGCTGTTGGCTCAATGGCAGCGCTTTTCCTCCTTAGAGTTTAGTAAAATAATGCCACACCTCACAATCAGTGGTATCCTAGATTAAATGAAACGGCAATACTTTTACTCTTTTGTGTGTGTACTTCCTATCTATCCAACTATCCTTTTCAGTCAAAGGCATGTTCTCTGTTTCTTTTTCTTTTCTTTTTTTTTAATTTAAGAGATGTGCTTTTGGGGCACCTGGGTGGCTCAGTCGGTTAAGCATCTGACTTCAGCTCAGGCCATGATTGCACGGTCCGAGTGTTTGAGCCCCGCGTCGGGCTCTGTGTTGACAGCTCAGAGCCTGGATCCTGCTTCGGATTCTATGTCTCTCTCTCTCTCTCTCTCTCTCTCTCTCTCTGCCCTTTCCCCACTCATGCTCTGTCTCTCAAAAATAGATAAATGTTTTTTTTTTTTTTAAAAGATATGTGCTTTAATTTAGCTGGATGATTTTTATGTGTCTTTCACCTTCCACATTGTCTGACATGATACTCCAGATGTTTGGAGATGCTTAGCGAACGTCTGCTGGTGATCACGGTAAGATCAATGAATGCTTCTCCCTCTGCCATGCCCTCCCACTCAGTGTGGGGTGGCAAGGGTAATATCTGATTGCAGCCATGATACTGGAGCAGGCCATGCCCCTCTTCCCTACAGCTAGGATGGGGCATATTAGTTTATGAAATGTTAATGTACAGAAGTCTCTTTTCTCTTTTCTTACTTTTTCCTAATGCCCAGTAACTTCATTTCTCCCTTGCACCCATCGTGGCTCCCCCATCCCCTCCTGCTGTGAAGTCCACTGCTCCTAAGGAGCAAAGGGTTGCTTCCAAAGGACCTCAACCACCACTTTGGAAGGCCCCATCAGTTTGGAAGGCCCCATCAGCCCTTTCTGTTATGGAGCATGGGAGAGGCAGGCCCAGGGCCTCCACAAATTAGAGCCCAGAAAGAGAGAGGACTTACAGCCAGGGGGACTCTTCCCTTTCTCTGAGCTACACCAAGGTCTCTCTGCTTTGCGCTGCCATGTCCTACGGCCAAATGTAAGCTAGAAGGAGAGACTCTA